TTCGTTCAGAAACCCATACAAATCAATGTTATAGCTGGGGTGGCGATTCATGATGCGTCATGAATCATCTTGACTTGACGTGACTCGACTCGACGCGACTCGCTCGGTGTAAACGCAGCGTAAGGGCTGATAGAAGGTGGTCAATTGCTTGTCACCAGGTAGTCGAGTATGCATCATGCGTCTCATAAAAAAGGGTTTCATTAAAAAGGGGTTTCACTTGTGAAGGCTTAAAACATATTTATAATTTCCGAAAGTTAACACTTAAAATACTTGTAAAACAGAACTCAAAAAATACACAAAATATAACAATAAAAACGGAACCTAAAACACCAAAAAAAACGAGCACTCTATTAATACTATAAAAAAGAGAAAAGCGTAAAATATCCCACCTTACTGCCATGTAAAACCGTCCTTACGACCGCAGGGGTACAAATACAACAAACAAAAAGCAACGTCTTTGCTTCCGCCGGGTATACATCGGCCGCTAAGACGAGCATACTATCCAGACCCCCTGCTAAGATCCGCTCGGTCCCCGGGCTATATATAGCCGACCCCCAGCAAGGACAATAGCCCAAAGAATACTGGCTCAGGGTAGAAGAATCATTCTCAACTGGGTCCCTAGCCATATTGGCATCAGAGGGAACGAACTTGCTGACAGACTAGCAGTCTCTGGCAGGGGTATGCCCCCTAGTCCCATGATCATTGCACCTAGCCGTAATTTACTTCGGAAGAAGAGTACTGGTGTCGCCAACTCCTTCCTCCTGCAGTTTCACAGAGAGGCAACGAGATCCTCCCCTCGGCCAGATGGTATTCAGAAGCAACGGGCTATGAACCTCTGGCACTCTCTGAGTTAAAAAACAGACAAATCGAAGTCATTCTCCACAGAATGCGCCTAGGTTACCACTGTAAATGGCAGATAATTGGGACTATTGTCCGTGAAGAGAGGTGTTCCATGCATTGCGGCGAGCCGAACGCCACACTTATACATTACTTAGATAATTGTGTACACACACAATTCCTGAGACAGGGACCCCCGAAAACAGCCGCCATGCTGGTAAAGAGACTTTGCGATTCGCTTACCCCGTGGCAGCAGGAGCGCCTGCTGGCAATCCCACCGCCACGGTAAGCACCGAGTGCCATAGAACGAAATGAGTCAGCCCTAAAAAGCTGACACAGGCCGGGCCATAGCCGAAGGCCCGGGCAAAGCTAGAACTTCGCAAATCACAATCGCATCGCATCGCAAGGATCTTAGCTAATGACTAGTAACTAGCCCGGGGACGAGCTAAACACCTCCCCCCTCCCTAGATGGCGTGGCAGTTCTTCGCCCATTAAAACTGTTTTTAATCTTTCATCCTTGGTGTTAAAACCCCTTAACCCCCATTAAAAGTTACCAATAGGATGTTAAAAGAAAATATTAAAAGTAATAACTGTTAAATTAGCTTTAAAGTAAAAAAAAAAAAAAAAAAAGGAGTGCTTAAAAGAATAAGAAAAAAGACAATGGTGACGGTTCCTCTTCATTAAGACCATAAATCTTTATTTAGCAATAAAAACATTAAAAATAATAAAAAATACAATAAAAACTGAAGAAGGCAACATCGCCTGAGCGGCCGTGCGGATATTTTCCCCAGTTTCTTCCAGGGGAGACTCAAACGGCATGGCGCCGTATGGGTCATTACAGTGATACACACACGCACACACTTAAACATGCATATATATAGATATACATATATACATATATATATATATATATATATATATATATATATATATATATATATATATATATATGTATGTATGTATGCATTTATTCATATATATATATATATATATATATATATATATATATATATATATATATATATATATATATGAAACGTATTCATGTCGACGAATGTAGAAAAGGTATGAATGAGAATGAGTATCTTCACAATACAAGAGATGTATTTGACCGGTTTCGAATTATATCTTCGTCAGAAATACATGTATTTCTGACGAAGATATAATTCGAAACCGGTCAAATACATCTCTTGTATTGTGAAGATACTCATTCTCATTCATACCTTTTCTACAAATATATATATATATATATATATATATATATATATATATATATATATATATATATATATATATATATATATTAGTGGTATCAATTAAGTACTATCAAAGAATTGCTTTGAGGCATATTCCAGTGTGTATCTCCTTAATGATTAGCGTAATTAATGTTATTTAAAACACGAACTAAAAATATTTGAAAATGCCAATAGATAAGATAAGGAAATATAAAAAATACTGAAAGGGACTTATAATTGTTGTACTGAATTGCCGTGAACATATAAAGGCAATTTCAAAGTGAAGGTCAATTAAAAAAAAAGTAAACAGGGTCACATATACACTCTGTGAGGTCATGATATTAAATAACTCAGATTACTGTCTGAAAATACCAGAAAGTGTATAGGATGTGTCATCACTGCATGATAGGTCAATAAGCATTCGAAATAAGACATTTCCATAAACACCAAATTAATATTCCATAAAATTACCAATAAAGACCGGTGAAACATCAGATGAAACGAAAAGTATATATATATATGTATATATATATATATATATATATATATATATATATATATATATATATATATATGTGTGTGTGTGTGTGTGTGTGTGTGAACAAAGATCTCAATCTGCCTGCAAGCAGACTAAAGCAAAATCACAAATGAGGTTAAACCGTTAAAATACACGAAAAGGAAATAAAAAGAAGACAAAGAGGCATAAAGAGATAAAACCAAGAGTGAAGAAATACGCCAAGTCGACTTCGAGAGCGCTGAGGCTTACGAAATGAGAGGGTTCCTTAAAGTACACACACACACACACATATATGTGTGTGTGTGTGTGTGTATACACGCACGTACATTTACACACATTTACATATATATTTAGATATATCCTACATATTTGTACATATAAATATACTAATGCATGTAAACATACATATACGTATCTAATCTTTACACACACATGCGGCATTTCCTCTCCCAAGAGATGACAACAGGCATTTCCAAATACAACTAGCACTAAAGCGGGCGTAATCGGAAAAAAAGAGAACCTTCCCATTGTCAGTCGATGTTTCACCATGCTACAGCCAAAGACAGCCCGATAAGAATGAATGTGTTGCGTGTTGCTAAATTTGTCCTACTTGACTGTTTGAGAAGGCATGTTTTTTTTCTCCCAGATACGCGAGCATTCAAATGTCAGCTGTCAGATAGATGTTCTTCCAGCAAAATGTAAGGCAATATTCACCATTACCAAACTAGTCTTCAAAGCGCACTTGAAATAGATGACAAGGGTAATAAGATCAACAGCGATGATCATGATGGTGATATTGAAAATGACGATGATAAGGGGAACTGACATATACAGTATCATTAGAAGCAGCAAGAAAAACAACTTTTGTCCAGTAAAGCTAAAACGTTTCCGCTTTTATATACACTATCCCGGTCCCAGCTGGCAGATCATGTGCAGTGAGATGGTGAAATGACAAGAGGCCCGGAGTGAGACTGGATGGTCAGGGAAAGCTGGGAGTTGAGTGATGTATAAATTTACCTTTCGTTGGGAGCTTGTTAAGCAAGTCACCCATAGACTGGTAATTGTTGCGATGGCGATTCAATGATACGCCTACTCAATATGTGCAGACACATATTGAGTGTGTGCATTTGTAGATTCTGAGTAGGCACTGCACTAATCCCTTGTGCATTGGTATTCTTCACACATCGCTTCTAAGTAAAGGTTAAAGAACCACACCTACCCTCCTACTCCTCAGCCCTCCCTTCTGCTACTACACTTTAGAAAAGGGTCTTTTTTATCATTTCATTGTCTAAAATAGTTTAATGAGTTTAACAATCATAACATCAATAATAATAATAAGAGTATCGACAGCAATGGTATTTGAAATTTTTCGCCAATCTGTAGGTAACAAAATTCACCAAAAACTATAGAGGACGGAACATAAATCCGGGGCGAAAGGGTTAACGTAAACCTAGGGTGAAACGTTTTGCCCGTGAAAGGAACAAGAAACAAAGAAAAGTTTAAGTCAACCGGGTCCCTTTGTTGTCAAACGTTTCGTCTCTCATAACGAATATATTCATACTTTTCGTAATGAGCCGATATTTTTGCATTGATAAATAAACAAAAAACACTCTATACCAACAACTGAAGTCATATAACCTTGACCTCGCATAATTTTAATCGGCATAATCCAATAAGTCATCAGTCCGCCACTTTCACTTTAATATTACACAACTAAAATTAAATGTGTCTGATTATGAAGATTAATAACCTCTGGCAACTGGCAACAACTAAAAGAACAATCAAAAAGTTAATTATCATTGGCCTTGATTATTTTGTTTACAATCCGTGATAAGGAATTTATCGTACGCCCTTACCTGAGAACAAGATGGCGGTCTCATGACGGGCTCGAACGTTTTGGTCGATACACCATTATATGGCCACGGCCGCTAGACCAGAAATGCTTTATATGATGAATGCAGGAACTTCCTACGATCTCGTGGAATATTATTAACAGTATTATATATATAACACCTGATCTCAGTGTACAACACACACATTTTTTAAATATGTGTGTGTGTGTGTAGACAGATACACATATATATACATAGTTATACACACATAAACATAACTATATATATACATATACATATATATATATGTACATATATATATATATACATACAATGCATATACATACATATATACACACATATACATATATATTCATGTATACATACACACATATGTATGTGTTTGTGTGTATGTCTATGTGTGCATACACACACACAGACACTCTTCACGAGTTCCTCTTCAAACGAATAAAACAATGCAACATACTTCTTGTTCCCCGGTTCTAAGTGTCATTGGCTGGTGTCTTATATCCCGTTATTATTTTAAAAACAAACACTGTTATTCAGTCAGAAGTGTGGGTTTGTGGTCAGGACACTGATATTTCGAAATTTTGATACTTTCTTCAAGAAAAAACACATTTTTGAAATTCATCAACTCATA